CATACACACACAATGCAAGAATGAACTGACGATGGCTTCTCTACAGATATTTTCCTAGGCTGTGTATTTTACTAAAGAAGATAATATCTCCAGGAGTGGATGAATCTTTTCAGATGAAGAGCTATCAATTACTGGCAAGAAGATCAAAGCACTTGAAACACATAGTTCTTTAAAAAAAGATACAGTATAAGGAATCAAAATATCAGTGTATCAATTATAACCTAAGACATAATATGATAAATAAAGCAATATTAACTAAAGACACAGAGGAGAAATTTCACCCTGATAGAAAGTTAAAACAAGAGAAAAGGTAACTACCTACATTTTCTTTTAAAGTAAGCACTGAGACACAGAGTCAAACTGCAGGGCTAAAAGGCATACAGGAAACAAATCATGCTCTGGGCAGGTGGCCTAGAACGAACAGCTAAGAAAAGGCGATTTAAAGGAGCTTCTTTTTAATTATCTTTGTGTATGAAGAGGTGGAAATGACTGCAGTACCTCCTGAGGCCAGAAGAGAGCATCAGATCCCCTGGAACTGGAGTGACAGGTGCTTGTGAGTGATGGGCATCCTCAACTTCACACCGTCCACATTCTTTACCTGCTAAACCTTAATCTCTCCAACCCCATGAATGCTGACACTTCAAGAGATCTCAGCAGGCCAAGATAAAGGAGTCATACTAATTTAGTAAACTAAGCAGAGGGGTCCAGTTAGGAGCATCTGCTATTAGTTACATCAGATCTAGAATTGTCTTTCCTTAACCCAGAGAGAGGCAGAAATAATGAAAACCAGCTTGTAAGATATAAAAGCCCCTAAACCTACTCAATGTGCCACACCAGGAGTGGGAACAGATGTTTCCTGAGAATATAAGGATACAAGAGCATGAAGAAATGTCTACCAAATAGTAAACAGTTATACCAGCTGACTGTGCAGAGAAGAAGTACACATTGAGTATGCATGGTCTTGATATTCTCTCCATGGGTGCTTCACAACTTGAGACTACTACTTCAGGGAAACACTGAGCAGAAGGTGGACTGAAAGCAGGTATTCATATATGACTGAGTAATGGAAAAGTAACTTTGATGAAAGTAAAGGCAATGAATACTGAAAAAAGAAAAGTGGAGACTAAAGTAATAGGAAGGCAGAAACTACAATTTTCTTTTAAAAAAAACATAAAGGATGAAGGAAAAGAGACATATGATTCTGTGTGTCTTGAGAAACTTGGGACATTGGGACAAAGGAAAACACATGCCCCTTTAACTGCTGAGCCATCTTTCCAATCACTATTTAGTTTTTAATTATCATTACTCTATATGTGCGTGTGTGAGTGAGCACCACAAACATGGTGTGTAAAGTGATGCCAAGGCACACATGCAGAAACAAGGTAACTATGAAGACCTCTCTGCTTCCACCTTTATGCAAGCTCAAAGGACTAAATCAGGCTACTAGCTTTACTTACTGATTCATCTTGGTTTTTATTTTGTCTTATTCCAAGATAGAGTTTCTCTGCATAGCCCTGGCTGTCCAGGAACTTGCCTTGTAGACCAGGTTGGCCTCAAACTCAGAGATCACCTGCATCTTCCTCCCAAGTGCTGAGATTGAAGGTTTGCACCACTACTACTGCCACCACCAGGCTGCCAGGGAAGATTTTTAACTGGCACTTTTGCAATATTCTCAAATGTTTTTATTCATCCAAATAAAAAGGATGCCAATAAGCTGCTTCCCAGACTTCATAAGAACTAGTATGAAAAGAAATTTCTGTTGTTTTTCATGAAGTCTGGTATTACCATGATGACCCCACACAAGTAATATACCTATACACATCTAAAAATTAGATCAAGACCTGATTACTCAAAGTAAAAACCACTTAAATACCTGACAAGAGACCTAGTGGTAACCATCCCACTACTCAGAACCAGAAGCATACTAAGAGACATGTATGTGCAATCCAATTCAGTACTCACAAAAATGTACTGAGGTTATGTATATAATAATGCTACTCCAAAATGAGAGAGCTTTAGCCTGGGTGTCAGGAAACCAATGTCCTGTAAACTAGAAACAGAAGCAGTTAGCACTGATTCTTTTTCCACAGTACCAGTTATTATAAACAAAAATGCCTACTGAAGTTTTACTGCCGAGAACAAAGACTCTAGTAGGGAAGCTACTGCTTTTTGTTGTTTATTCTTTTTTAATTATACTTTCTAAATTTTTTTAAAGATTTTATTATGTAGCATTTCATGTATGCCTGCAGGCCAGAGGAGGGCACCAGATCATTATAGTTGGTTGTGGGCCACCATGTGGTTGCTGGGAATTGAACTCAGGACCTTTGAAAGAGCAGCCAGTGCTCTTAACCACTGAGCCATCTCTCCAACCCCATACTTTTTAAATTTTTATGTGTATGAGTGTTTTGCCTGCATGCATGTCTATGCAACATATGCATGCAGTGCCCACAGAGGCCAGAAGAGATTGTGTCAGATCCCCAGGAACTAGAGTTATGGACAGTGTGAGCCACCATTTAAGTGTCCTATGGAAGAGATGATAATATTCTTAACCACTTTAGCTATTTCTCCAGTCTCTCCTCCCCAACACCCCCAGTGTTTTTTAAGAATTTAATTATCTTTTTTTTTCACTTGGCTTTTCGAGACAGATTTTCTCTGTATTGCTTTGGAGGCTGTCCTGGAACTCACTCTGGAGACCAGGGTGGCCTTGAACTCACAGAGATCCTGCTTGCCTCTGCCTCCCAAGTGCTGGAATTAAAGGCGTGCGCCACCAACACCAGGCTTAAGAATTTATTTATCTTATTTTACATATGCGTGTTTTGGCTGCATGTACGTAGGTGAACCCTGTGTATGCAATGTCTATGGAGGGCAGAAGAGGACATTGGATCCCATGGCACCAGAGTTAAAGAAAGTAGTGAGACCCCATGCAATGCTGGAAACCTGAATGCTCTGAAGAGCAGCAAGTGATCAAAACTGCTGAGCCATATCTCCAGTCCCACACTACTACTGACTCCAGAACCAATGTTCTCACATGATGTTCTCACATCAGTGACATACCAAAGTTATCCTTAGAATGACATCAGTGACATACCAAAGTTACCCTTAGAATGAAACTTAATTTGTAGAAATTGGTTAACATTGTCCTTTACAGTAACCTAAACACTGCTTTCAACTTAACCAGAAAAAGATTTCATATGGAAAGAAGAATTAACTTGGAAAAACAAAACACATCATAAAGATGTGCTAAATTGGAATATTCTCCCCCTATACCTATCATACTAATTTACTACATACAAATCAATTTTCAAAACAGATGGAAGAAACACATGGATGTTTCCTTTACAATCTTACTACTTTTAAAGAATCCCTGTCTAAGGTAACAGAGGCAAAAGCAAAATACAAGCTCTTGCGTCAGGCACCAGATTCATAAAATGTTATGATGTTTCTCATTTTTAAAAACACATGATGCTGGTTAACAGCAACAACAAAAATAAAATTTTATACCTATATATTTTTCTTTCATTCCTTTGACATACTTCACTATAATGACCACATTAGCAGTGACCAGTAACTATTCTGACACTAAAACATGAAAAGTTGAGTCAAGTTGTGGTGGTTCATGCCTTTAATCCCAGTACTCAGGAGTCAGAGGCAGGAGAAGATCTCTGTGAGTTGGGAGGGCAGCCGATCGACACAGTGAAACCCTGTCTCAAGACAAAACAAAGCACGACCAGTTTGACTGGGATGTTGCTCAACTGGTAAGTGTTCTTACCTACCATATATGAAGCCCTGAGCTAGGTTCTCAACACCCTGTAAAACAGAGCATGGAAGGCACGCCTGTAATTCCAGCACTTGGGAAGTGGAAGCAAGAGGATCATAAGTTCAAGGTCATTTTCAACACACTGAACTCCTGGCCAGTCTAAAATGTAGATCCTGTCTAAAAAAAACAAAGCCAAAAAGCAAACAACTAAAAGAAAAGCAAGGATAAGTAAAGATCTGAAACACATCTGTTCAAAATCCAACTGCAAATTCTAGTATCTCTTCCATAATTAGAATAAATCATTAAGTATGCAGAAAACAATGTATTTGTATGAAATATGATTTGTCTCTATATATCAAATAAGCAATGAAAATAATAAAACAGTTAACACTTAGGGAGTACTCTAGCATATCTTATTAATTCACTTAATCATCTTCCCCAGTGGCCCTCACAAGATAGGTTCTTTGTCTATTCTTCAGATCAAACTTAGGAGAAGAATTTACACTTAAAGTGATCACTGTTTCTCATTGCCATCAAAAGGATAAAACACAATTAGGTCCAAAGAACAGAACTGAACTCTAGGAACAATTATTGAAGCCTCAAGCTTAGGTATTAACAACAAGGTCATCATTATACTGTCTCATTTAATGTAAATACACTATTTAGTGCTAACAGTAATATTTACACTTTCACCTCCAAAGATAGTTTCTTCATTGTGAATATACATGTGTGTATGACACATGAGATATATACATATATATGAGTGCACATGCGTGTGTGTGAGAGAGAGAGGGGGGGGAGGGGGAGAGAGAGAGAGAGAGAGAGAGCACACTCCCTGTATGGCTGAGCTGGCCTTGAAATCAAAGATTGGTCTATCTCAACATACTGGATGCTGGGACTTAAGGCAATCACCATCATGCCCAATTTCAGTCTGATCTTTCTTAATGAAAATACAGATCTCACACAGTATAATGCCAGAGTCTAATATAGTGTAGTATTAACTTTTAGGCAAATCATATGTGAAACCAAGCTAGCATTACTCCAAGTCACTGCTTTAAAGCTGGAATGTTGTTAGTGATAAGCTGCCCTTTCTTAAAGAGGAGAACACTGAGGCTCTCAGAGATAGAATGATTTTATCAAAGACACAAAACCAATTCCTCAAATGGTTGAACAGAATTTAGAACTATCCAGCTGCTATGAAGGGGAAAAAAAGGTAGTAAGAACCAAACAAATCCTTTCTTACCAACTGAACTTCACCAAAAGCACCTCTTCCAATAACTTTTACAACATCATAGTCTTCTGCTTTCATCTGTAAACCTCTGATTTTTTTCACAATTTTCTCATCTATAAAAAAAGATCACCATACTTTTAATAGCAATCATATATTAAAAACATTCAAAAGTAGTCACCATATTTGTAAACATGTCTTATTTCTAGATATTAGAATTAATTTTTAGCTGATCGCATCTTTAGGATCCTGTTTTAACACTGCAAAGTATGGGAATGTGTATAGTACAGTGACTGCTTGCTTTCCATGTGAGGTCCTAGGCTCCACCCCAGACCGAAATAAACACTCTAAGATGTATGCTGTCTTTACATCAAGGAACCAAAGCTCTGTGGTTTGTTGGCACATGTCCACGTGCCACACTGCCAAAAAGCGGTACTAAAGGTGCTCCGCTTCTCACTCCACTGTGTACAAGTGACATCAATGACCCAGGCAATCCTAATGCTTTATCAATCATGGCAGAAAGCAGGACAAAGTCAGGCATGTCACCCAGGACCCGGAGGCTAAACACAAGGACTACATTTCAGGCTGGCCTAGGCCATATTGCTAGAAGTTATCTCAAAAAAGAAGAGGACGGGGTGAAATTACTTGCAATTCCAAATTTAGCAATGAAGCTCAACCTATTTCTCTAAAAGGCAGTAATCACATATTTCAAATATCGCCTGCTATAGTAACTATTAAATAAAAAAATACCCTAGCACTGACAATTCCAAAATAAAGGATTTAGCTGTGGGGATAAAGAGATGCATTAATCATTCTGAAACTTGCTTTCCCCCTTTTATTAGACATTTTTAGAATTTTAAGTTTTCTGCATTATGTGTTTGTAGAAGGAAATCTTCTTCATCTGTCTCGGTCCCACTGGACCAGTTATTCTCCACCCACCAGGTCCCATAGCCGCTTAATGAAATAACCACTCTAAGAGTATCAGTTACAATCGTTTAGCCAATGGTTCCAGCTTCTTATTGACTAGTTCTCTCTTAATTGTTAACCCATTTCTACTAATATGTGTATCTCCACATGTCCTTGACTTACCAGGGTGATGTCCAGGCTTCTTGACACCCCAGCTGCTACATGGTGTCTATCCTTTCTCTTCCTTCCCTGCCTCTTTGTTTGGAATTCCCACCTAGCTAAATTCTGCCTGTCCATTGGCCAAAACAGCTTTATTTATCAACCAATAAGAGAAATATATATTCACAGCATACAGAAGTTTAAAGAGTGTGGGCTTGTGAGTATGGTCCCCTCAGAAATCAGATGAGGGCACCAGATTCCTCAGGAATTATTAACAGGTAGTTGTGAGTTACCTGACTCAGGTGCTGGGAACTGAACTCAGGTCCTCTGCAAACACAGTTTGTATTCTTAACACCTGAGCCATCTCCAGGTCCCTGGGATTAACTTTTCCCTTTTTTTGGAGACTGCCTTGCTTTAGAGCCCAGGCTAGCCTTAAAACTGTACTAGTCCTCCTGTCTCAACCTCCTGGATTGCTACATACAAGCATGATACACCATGCCCAACTCAGTTTGAGGATATATTTTCAGAATCCACTTATTCCAACATAATGCTGATAAACATTAAAGATAATCATATACATGGTACTAACTGCTATCAGGTCATTTTTCCTTAGTGAGACTTAATATACATAGATTGCTAAAACAAAGCTTATTAAAGTCTTCTGGGTAAGTAAAAGCAAAGACATAGTTACAATATTAACTTAAAATTTTGCTTAATCAGTCATAACTAAGAGTCATAACTAAGAGTCATAACAACTCATATAAATTTTACCTTTCAAATTTTATCTACTTTACATATTGTAACTTAATTCAGTGAAGTTACTTTGAAAATAGAAAATATCATTTTTAAATGAATAAATAGCATATTTAATAAAAGTAAGTTTGGTAAGTTAATAGGCTGTGGTAGTTTGAATAAGAATGGCCCCATAGGTTCATATATTTGAATGCTTAGTCACCAGGGAGTGGTATCATTTGAAAGGATTAAAAGGATTAGGAAGAAGTGTGCCACTGAAGATGGGCTTTGGGTTTCAAAAGCCCATGCCAAGCCTAGTGTCCCTCTTCTGGCCTGTAGATCAAGATGTAGCTCTCAGCTACTGTTCCAATACCATGAATACCATCATGTTTCCCTACCATGATGACAAAGGACTAAACTTCTAAAACTGTAATCAAGAGTTCTCTTGGTAATGATGTCTCTTCACAGCAATAGAAAAGTGGCTAGGTCACAGGTTAACAAAGTAATAGATTTAAGTACCACAAATTTAACAAACACATCTCATTTAAAGCACAGCTATGTGTCCAAACATGAATAGTAAAAATAAACATACTTACATCTATTTAAGAAATTATCAATATTTTTATTTTTCCTCAAAGCAGGAAAATCCAAGTCAAGGACCAAGGAATTTAGGCCATCCTGTTAAAAAATAAAGAGTAAAAAGCAAGTTTGTATAATTCTCAAGCATTCAAAAGTCTTTAAATGTCATACACACTGCTCCCAGTGAGTATATATGATCCTACATTAATATACTGTGGGTTCAACATGCCCAAAAGCTTGAACAAATTTCCTAACCTGAAAATGTTACTTGGAAGTATACACTAGGCCAGAGTTTGATGTCCCGCAAAGCAAAGAAAGATAAATGCAGCTTATTAGTTTTCACTCACTTAAAAAATCTTTAATTTTGTGTCTATTGCATATGGAAACAAGGCAGGGAGGAACCAAAAATAAGCAAGATGACATCCTTCTCCAGGAAAATGGATAGAACTAGAAAGGATCATAATGAGTAAGGTAACCCAGACCCAGGGTGACAAATATGCATATTCTCTCATCTGAGACTCCTAGCCCCAAAGCTTCAGGTGTGAGCACATATCCTAAAACAAAAATGCAGATGATTTAAAAGACCACCCTAGGCTTATACTGTCTCACAAAAATGTGTGCTTTCTATTTCACCCAGAAAAATCTGAATCATATTAATTGACCTGCTGTCAGTAGCTGAACACAGGCTACTTATAATACTGCATGGTTTTGTAGGTATTATAAGATTTCTAAGCCCAATTATATGACAGACTAACTTTATCCCATCTTCAACAATAAGAGTTTTATTACCTAGTAAAAGAGATGTTTGCCTAAAGAAGACAAGATTTACCAAAGTACACAAGAAATAAGCATGAGCTGGGTATTGGTGGTGCACTCCTTTAATCTCAGCACTCAGGAGGCAGAAGCAGGTGGATCTCTGTGAGTTCGAGACCAGCCTGGTCTACCAAGCGAGTTCCAGGGCAGGCTCCAAAGCAATACAGAAAAACTCTGTCTCAAAAAGAAGGAAGGAAGGAAGGGAGGGAAGTAGGAAAGGAGGAAGGAGGAAAGATGAACTAAAAGGTAAAGGGGCTGTTGGAATGGCTCAGCAGGTAAAGCGCTGCACCAACCTAATGACCTGAACTTGACCCCAGAATCTACCCATGGTAAAAAACAAAAACAAAAAAACCTGATACATCTGTATCCTAGCTCTTTTACCAAGAGGTGGGAGCCAGAGACAGGAGAAATTTCCTGTAATCCCTAGCCTGAGTACTCAGAACAGCAGAAACAAGAAATCTTAGCTTCAACAAGGCAGAAGGGGAGAACCAACTCCTGAAAGTTGCTGTCTGACCTCTACACAAACACCATGGTACACATATACCTGCATTCACACATATACATTACATAAACCTATAATAATGATAGGCAAATAAAATAAAAAAATTTAAAGTGAAAATGAACCATATATTTTGCCACATGAATTAACTTGATTATAAAAGCTGAAGTTGCTGACTCAATAAAACATAAAAATAGTCTTCTTATTTCCTCTTATGAAACTCTTACCTACAACTACAGAAAAACCATCTCTTAAGACCCCTGAAGATGCCTTTAATCCCAGCACTCAGGAGGTAGAGCAGGTAGATCTTTATGAGTTCAAGGCCATCCTGGTCTACATAGTGAGTTTGAGAACAGTCAGAGCTGTGTAGAGAACCCCTGTACTAAAAATAATACATAAATAAATAAACAATAAATAAATAAATAAATAAATAAGGGGGAAGGAGGGGAATAGGAAGGAAGGAAGGAAGGAAGGAAGGAAGGAAGGAAGGAAGGAAGGAAGGAAGGAAGGAAGGAAGGAAGGCCCCCTGATGCCTTAAAACATAGGGAATACACTGATGAAATAATAGGCACCACTCATACTTAGGATGCTACAAGAGTAATCACTCAAATGCACTTTGAACTGTGGGGAGGTTCAGGCTCCTGCAGTGAAGCACACACACACACACTCAGCTGGTCTCTAGCCTCCCAAGCACTGTGCCCTGCATTCTCTTCTCTGGAAGGAAGCACTTTCCCTCTCATGTGTCTGGATATTATTCATTTTCCACATGCTCTTCTCTCCACCTTGGATTTAAGTCTCTTTTCTGAAGTGTCCCAGAAAAGTGCTTCCATTTTGCATTGAAATATTCACTAAGTACATAGTAGCCATAAAAGATTTAATTTTTCCACCCACACAGGGTTTTTCTCTGTAGCCCTCACTGTCCTAGAACTTGCTACTCTGCAGACCAGGCTGACCTTAAACTCAGAAAATGACCTGCTTCTACCTCCTGAGTGCTGGGATTAAAGGTGTGCACAACCATTCCTGGATTCTGTAGAGTTTCATGTCCATCTTTAATATTATATTAAAAATACTTTAATTACTGTGAGGTCTGCATACCTTCTTAAATATTGTGCCTAGTGCAAGTGCCCTCACTGGTTCTACCTCAGCTATGGTCCTTAGAGATTGACTACTACAACATGGTATTAACTGCATAACAGCAAGTCACCAACCACAGCACATTTTAGATATAAGAAAATATGTGAGAACTTATTACTGACCCAGTCAAAGAGCTAGATTTAATGTCAGGTTGGTGCGGCTCTAATGCTACTGCAGGGGTAACAGCAAGTATTTACCCAGGGCCTGCTATCAAAACCGCCAGACACTCACATGTAACACCACCTCGTTTCATTTTCCTAGCAGACTGTGCAAGAAGGTGCTGTTATCTTTTTTCTGAGTTGTAAAGAATAAGCTCAAAGAAGTTAGAACAACTACCTAGATCTGCTTAGCAAAAAAGCCAAATAAATGGTTTGGGCTTAATACACCTTCAAGTAGTTATTAGTAGTACTCTTAATATTTTAATTAGAGTCTAGGTTTTTGCCATAAAATATTAAGTCAGTGAAAGATATGGGCCAAAATATTCACAATGTAGTTTAGAAATTTTGGAACAAATTTGTCAAATTGTTGTATTACTAGATCTTTAGTTCATAATGAGTAGCTATCTTTTCCTCTATAAACAAAAATATTCTTACTTAAGATTCAAAGAATATATACTACATTACCCCAAAATTCCCCATAGAACAAAACAAAACAGCCATTTAAACACTTCCTCCATGATAAACTGTCTGAATGCCATCCTCTAGGGGAGGAAGGAGTTTTACAGCCACCATGTGCACAGTGCAGCAGTGAAGGGATGGACAACTCCCCTGCTGGGAAATCTGAGGTGAAATTACAGAATCATTTCAGTTGGATTATTTCTAAAACAACAGCAATTAATTTTCTGCTGGACATGATGACCCACACCATTAATGCCAGCACCCAGGAGGCAGAGGCAAGCAGATCTCAGTGAGTTCAAGGCCAGTCTAGTCTATGTAGTAAATTCTGGGCCAGCCAGGGCTAACCATCAAGACCTTTATTTTTCTTTTTTTTCATCTTACATAAAAAGTCACTGAAGGAGGCTGGAGAAATGGCTGAGAAAACACTTTGAGGGGAAAATAAATCAAGCATCAGCCTCACCTTTTTTTAGTATGTGTGAGTTTGTACATGTGAGTAGAGTACCCTCGTTGTGTCAGATCTCCTGAGCCTGGAGCTACAGATGGTTATGAATGACCTGATAAGGGTGCTGGAAACAAACCTGGGTCCTCTACAATACCAATATATGATCTTAACCACAGAGCCATCTCTCCAGCTCCAAGTCAATTTTTCATTTAAACAAGCCACCCCACACTAAAAAAAAAGCAATACATGAAACAAGCAGCTTTCTCTGTTGTCCATACAACAGTCTCAAGAAATCCTCATGAAGAGGAGAGCAGCTGGCAACGGCTGTTCTAAAACATGTGCTCTTTGGTGCTTTCTCCTTCTAACGTCGTATGTAAATGTGCAGTTACAATAGCCTGCCTTGTTTTAATGAAAAAGTAAAAATAGCCTTTCTTTTTAAAGATTTACTTCCATTATGCTAAATTATGTTTATGTACATGTGACTGTGTGCATTTGAGCACAGGTGTCGAGGAGAATAACAGATTCCCTGAAGCTAGAGAGAGCAAATGTGGTTTAAGCCACTCCATGTGGGTACTGGGAACTGAACTCAGGCCCTCTGGAAGAGCAGCAGACTTTTCTAAAACTCTCTTGACCACTTAAGTACAGCTAGTAACCACTGCCACACAGAACTCCTGTTTACTGTTCCTTCATTTCTGGCGCTTCTTGAGCAGGACTAAGGATTTCTTGTCTACCAAGTACATACTAGCAACTCACTGAACAAAACAAAACTATTTATGCCTGGTGGTAGTGGTACAGGCCTTTAATCCCAGTGCTCCAGAGACAGAGGCAGGCAAGGCCATGGTCTACTGAGTGAGTTCCAGGACAGCCAGGACTACACAGAGAAACCCTGTCATGAAAAACCAAAACCAAACCAGAAACTATTCACCCACAAATAGCCATAATCTTTCTTTCTTTCATTTAAAAGGGAAAAGCAACAAAATACATGTGTGAATTAACTTTGTCTCTGAACCATCTTTTAGGCTTGAAAAATGATTTCTCAAAATCACATTGTAGATTTATTTTCAGACATTCACCAGATGGCCAAAAGACCTGAAAGTCTCCTAAACTGTTAAAGTGTACCCCCACAGGGTGTACAAAAACGATCAGCTGAGACACAGAAATGACAGGATTGCATGCTACGATGTGATTGTTGTAGCTCTAGGGATCAAGCCGAGGACCACCACCAGATCAGGTAAGTGCTCCACCGCGGCGGAGCTACAACCACACAGGTAAAACACAGCAGATTTCAGTAACATTTCACTCTTGGCAACAACATTTAACCAACTGTGATACAATGCAAAGTACATGTATCTTACACATGATTATTCTTGCATATTGCCTACTAATGTTTAAACTCCTTACCTAACTTCAGACTAAAATTGTGCCATTTTAAAGAACAGACATGTCAAAACATTGCAAACTAAAAAATTTAAATATAGTGTCCATTACACTGAAACTATTTAAAACTTGAAGTACACATCATAGGTATAAATTAAAACAAAATGCAAGTAGTAGCAGCAAACAAAAAGTTGGCCCTTCACCTCTTCCGTATATT